ATTATCTTAATCAGTGGAAAATCAAAAGGGACTTTATCCTAGAACAAGGTAAGAATGCCTATTACTTCTGCTACTACTTATCACTGCAGTAGAGGTATTAACTAATGCAATGAGGCAAACAAAAACAATCAGAGACATAAGAATTGGCAAATAAGTAAAGCTATCATAATTTTCAGATGACACAGTATTATGCCTGGAAAACTCCAAAAAAAAAGCAGTAAAGCTTAAAAAGTAAAAGAATTCAGTCAAATAGCAAGTTATATAATTAAGATACACAATCAGTAGCTTTCATATACACAAACTATGAAATTATAATGGTATAGAAAAATCTCATTTAAGTAAAGAATTAAATATTAAGGGAAACAACAAAAAACTTGTTATACGGAAAATTACAAGGAAAATTTTTAAACATCCCGACAAACACTGAAATAGATTTTTTAAAAACATTCCTGACAAACACAAAAGTAGACTTAAATGAAAAGGTATCCCCTGTTCTTGGATAAGATGACTTAACAATATAGAGATATTAGTTTTCCCCAAGTGAACTTATAAATTCAAGACAATGCCAATAAAAGTACCACTAGGCTAATTTTATGGAGTTGGACAATAGGAAAGTGCATATAAAAAAGGGCAAGAATACCTAGGGAAACACTGGAAAAGAAAAACCGTGAGGGGGAAACCAGTTCACATAGACATTAAAACATATTACAAAGCTTCTTATAATTTAAACCATGTGACAAAAAAATAAAGTTCAGAATTAGGGTAAAAACACATAAAACTCAGAATATGACAAAGGAGGTATCTCAAACCCTTTGGGTAAAGATAAAGTTTTTAAAAAATAAATTATCTGGGTCAATGTGGAAAAGATAAAAATACACAAAAATCAATTGTAGGTGAACTGTAGATATAAATGTACATATTGAAACAATAAGACTTATAGAAAAAAATGTAGAATATCTTCTTGCCTTCGAGTTAGGCAAATACTCAGGAATATCAGAGCACTGTCCATAAAGATTAGATGACATTAACATTAATTCATTTCATTAAAAAAATACCAATTAAAAAATAGAAGAGACAAGCCACAAAGTTGGAGAAAATATTTGTAAAATATATCCAACCATAGGGCTCATAATAAGAAAAAGGCAGGTAATTCAATAAAATAGCTTCTTAGAAAGAAAATTTGTACAACCACTTTGGAAAATTGACATCATTATGAAAAGTGAACATATGCATCCCATATGACCAGCAATTTCAGCACAAGGTATACACCCACGAGAAACACATACACTTGTGCACTGTCAGAAATAATAAAATATGCTCATAGCAGCATTATTCATAGCAGTCCCAACCTGAAAAGTCAAATGTCTGCCCATCAACACAAACTACTTAAACAAAATGTGGGATATTCAAAACAATGGAACACAATAAAATGTACTATCTTGAGATACTCAAAACAATATGCATCAATTTCACAAAAACATTAGGGAAAATTATGATAGATACAAAAGAAAATGTACTCTATGGTTCCACTTGGATAGGGGTAAGAAACAAAAATCCCAAGCCATATTGTGAGTCAGGATATTGGTCACCTATGGAGAGTAGGGAAGGGTTTGTCATTTGACAGAGGCAAGAAGGGGTATCAGGAATGCTGGTAGTACTTTTTCTGGCCTGATGATATGGATGTGTTCATGTGATAATTTAGCTGTTGTATATGTATGAATTAAGTATTTTTCTGCATTTTAGTAAAACCTGTTTTAAAATGTTACCACACTTATACAAAGTATCATTATACACTTTAGAAATGACTTTGGTATCACACTAATAAACAGAACATGCACAGACCTTATAGTTCAGCAATTTCACACTCCTGGAATAACTCACCAATACTCCAGAAGAAATGTGACAAAATGTCTTAAAGCAGCATTGCTCATAACTGAGAAAAGTGAAAACATCCAGTAACTAACTACATCAGCAGAAGAGGTAAATAACTGGTATACTAATAGAAGGAATCACAATCTGAAAATGAAATTAGGGCTACTGTCATTAATGTGACTCTCAAACCACCACTACCCCTACTAATCTGACCACCATTATATGTAACTTGAATTCTGCAATGGCCTAACAGTCTGTACCTTGTCCCTGTATTTAGCCTATCAACCCAGAAACCACTGTGATCCTTTAAAATTATAAATTGGACACTTTGACACTGTTCAAAGCCCTCCAAATTGAGAATGAAGGCAAAGTCCTTCCAGTTAACCCTACAGGATGTCCCCATGATCAGGACCCTGATCTAGCTCTGACCTCATCATCTTTAGCAACTCACAAGTTTGATCCACTCCAGTCACACTGGACTCTTTGTCCCAAGCACAAAATTTCTCATGGCCTCTGAACTGCTGTTGAAGGTGCTCCTCCCCCACACTTACAGCTCATTTACATCTCTGTGCAAATGTCACCTTATACAAGGCTTTCCTTACACACTCCACAGCTCCACTGAATCCCACATTCTCATTATTGCATGCTTAATTTTTCCTCCATGCACTGACCACCATCAGAGATATATTTACTCATTTACCAGGTGCCTCGACACCAAGTAGAATGTAAGCAACTTGAAGGGAAATATCTTGATTCACTACAGACCTAGGGCATAGAACAAGGCCTGACATCATAATATAAACTGGAATCCAGCACCAGAGTTTAAATATAAGCATTACTGCCTGCTAACAGGTTGGCCTCAAACAAATCACCTAAACTTCCTTGCCTCAAATTCTCCACGTCCAAAATGAATTGACGGCACCTGCTTCTCAGCACTTTTTTTTTTTTTTTTAATACGTCAGTAGTGGAGCAATCCACCCTTTTTACTTGCAAAATGTGAACAGAAAGCTACTATATTTCTCTAGACATTTACAAAGAGTTTTCTTCATCTTAAGGATAAATTAAACAAAGTAGATGTCGACTTAGCACTTCTGTGAAAACAAATACAGCTCTTTAATACAAGAATGAAAATAGATGTTTAAATAGATCAAAGATATGAAATGCAATTTTAAAACTTGGCTTTAAGAAGTTAAAAGTTCATATCCAACAGTTAAAAGCATAAGCAAATTATAGCCACATGTGTAGCAGTTATAAAAACTCACTTGTGTGCCACACACAGTCTCTGTCACAGATGAATGGGTTAAACAGCATCCAGCTGGATGACACAGAACCCTCCCTCTGCAAATATAAAAACTAATAGGAAAAAAAAGAAAAAAAAAGAAAGAATATCCAAAGCAGTTTAAACCAATAATCAGTTTTATTTTTTCATGTAATAGGTCTGGAAGTAAACTCAGGGCTAGTATAGACCCTAAAGAAGCCCCTTTGTGAATTTTCTGCAGGATCCTTCTTAGCCTGTGCATCCTCATGGTCACAAGATGGATCTTTTAACACTAGGTACTGGATCTCCTTATTAGGTAAGAAGTGGGGGGAAGAACAAAAATAAAATACAAGTGGAGAAGAATCCAGGTAAGAATGGCCCTTTTTCTGGAGTCTTCTCAAAGCCCGTAGAGTAACATCTGCTTATTTGATAATAGAAAGGCTGTGGAACATGGACTGGACGAATTGTAAGGAAACTTGTAAGAGATTTTAAAAATTGTACACCTTACTAATCTGACAAAAATTAAGTTTTCTTGACATGGAAGATATTAGGGGAGCAACTAGAAGTTATTTGCCACTGTTGGCTGGAATATCCCAAAGGACTCATCTGATGAAGACATCATTGTCTGATCTCAATGCATTTGATTTAAATAAATAATCAGGCACTAAAAATATCAATGGTTCACACAGTACATAAGATTTGACAGTCTATTGGTCAAGTAAATCATTCAAAAGGAAGTTAACACATTCTTAAGAATGAAATTATAATTAAAATACTACATACAAACATTGTGATGTGTGTAAGGGTAATTTAGAGCACAACCTCAAAGATGAAATATTTATGAGCTAGTGTCTATTTTCACAATGAAATACATCAAATGCAATTTCAAACTCACTAGAAAATTCCTTTGGCATGTGAATGAATTCTCATAAGCAAAGTGAGGGAGCTATGGCTGAAATTATTTCAACACAGGATTGCCTGCAATGTGGGTTCTTGCATTTCTTGAATTAATTACATTGGTTATATTTTTGAAGCTTTAAATATAAACTCGTCTACCATGAGTACTAGAGTACTCAAGTTTCATAAAAATCGAGGAGCTCTTCTAGGACTAGGTTTCTCAACCTTGGCAATATTAACCTTTTGGGGCATATAAATCTTTGTTCTGGGGGCTCCTCTGCATTGTAGTCTATTTATCAACATCCTTTATGTCTTCCAACTATATGAAGGTAATGCTTTCCCCAGTTTTAACCAAAAATGTCTCCAGAGATTGCCAAATGCCTCCTGGGGAGCATATCCACTTCCTGGTAATTACCACGGCTCTGGAACAGGAATTGGCATTTTTTTTTTCTATAAAAAGCCAGATAATGAGTATTTTAAACTTTGTGGGCCACACAGTCTCTGTCACATATTTTTCTTCCTTAAAAATGTAACCTATTCTTGGCTTGAGAACCATACATAAGTAGACGGCTGGCTGTAGTTTTCTGACCCTTTACTGACTTTTCCATGTTTCCCTAGAGCGCTTACTTTTCTCGTATGCTCAGAAGGTGCCAGGTGGTACAACAGTGATTTCGACATTAAGTATCAGGCTAGGGTTTCTCTTCCTAAGCTGTCACATTTGTTAAGACTTAAATGTACACTGATGGCTTTTCCACAACATAGAGGCACATTTCCCCCCAGCGTTAATTCTCAAAGATGAGAAAAAAACTCGTCATTTCAGTCATTGCACAAACTGGCTTTCTTCCAGTTACATGTATTCCCTTGTGCTCAGTAAGATGAGTTAATAAAGGCTTTCCTGCCTTCCTGAAACTTACAAAGTTTCCTTACAAGGTTTCCTTCCAGTCTGAGCTCTCAGTTTCTTAAAGAAGGTGTGTCACTGGAGCCTCTTCCACACTGATGACACTCTGAGTTTTTCTCCCTGGTGAGTTTTAACATGACTCCGAAGAGATGAATGATCACTGAAGGTTTTCCCACAAGCCAAGCATTCATAGGGCTTCTCCCCAGTGTGTATTCTCCTGTGAACATTAAGGTTTGAGCCTATGCTGAAGGCTTTTCCACAGTGATCACACTCATACGGCTTCTCTCCTGTGTGACTTCTCATGTGTGTCTTAAGAGTTGACTGGTTTCTGAAGGCTTTCCCACACTGTCTACATTCAACATATTTCTTTACAAGATGAATGCTCATGTGCCTTCTCCGGGACAAATAATCACCAAAGACTTTCCCACAGGCAGCACATTCATAGCGTCTCTCTTGGGTGTGTATTTTCCTGTGTGCTGTTAGGTTTGAGCTGGCGCTGAAGGCTTTCCCACATAGATCACACCCGTATGGTTTCTCTCCAGTGTGAGAATTCATGTGTGTCTTAAGGATGGACTGGTTTCTGAATGTCTTCCCACACTGTCTACATTCAACAGGTTTCTTTACAATATGAATTCGCATGTGTTTTCTCCGTGATAAGAGATCACCAAAGGATTTCCCGCATTCTTTACATTCATATGTTTTCTCTACCATGTGGTTCTTCTTGTGCAAATTAAAGTTAGATTTCCATCGAAAGGCTTTTCCACACTGTGTGCATTCATAGGGTTTCTCTCCAGTGTGATTCCTGACATGTTCTTTGAGATGTGACGGATGCTGGAAAGCTTTCCCACAGTCTTGACATTCATAGGGTCTCTCTCCAGTGTGTGTTCTTTTGTGTGCAATGAGGTGGCAGCTCCTGCCATATGACTTCCCACATTCATCACACTTGTAAGGTCTCTCCCCAGTGTGAACTCTCATGTGTATCTTTAGGGAGGAGAGAGTTCGGAATGCATTTCCACATTGACTGCAATCAAAGGGCTTCTCTGTGAGGTGAGTTCTTGCGTGACTCCTAAGGGCTGAGGGATCATTAAAAGCTTTCCCACAGACATTGCATTCATAGGGTTTCTCCCCAGTGTGTATTCTCCTGTGCCGTGTAAGAGAAGCACTTGTGGTGAAGACTTTTTGACACTGATGGCATTCATGCATTTTTCTCCCATGGTAAATGCTCACATGTTGAGTTACATGTGGCCTGTTATTGAAAACCACCCCATAGTCTCGTCGGTGATAGGGCCTCTTACCAGTTCCCATTTGCTGAGTAAGATGAGCACCCATACTGAAAACTTCAAACAGATGAGCATATTCAGTGGATTTCTCTCCAAGATGAGTTCTTTCCTGTTGATTTAAAGATGAATGCTAAGGCATTTCCAATATTCATTTCATTCCTAAGAATTATCCCTACATAAACTGACATAAATTAAAGCTCATCATTATGACTATAGATGTCATCATTATGATTATGGATTTAAAAGTACTACTCCTGGGGGGTAAAAAAAAATCAATAAAATATGTAAAAATAATAATAATAAAATATGAAAAAAATAAAAAATAAAAAAATAAAAGTACTACTACTGCCCCTATGGGTTCTATCAAGTAGAATAGGTGAATGTTTGTTTACCCTAAGGTACCATGAGTGTAGCAATATCAAAGCTTTTTACAAAAAAACTTTAACTGTTTAAACCTGAATTGAATTCTAACACTCAATTATCTAAGACATAGCTAAAAAAATATTTACTCATCAGAACTCTAAGTGGAAAGTTTTGGGTTAGTATTTGGTAATAATAGTGTAACACTGCTTCCTCTTGGGGAATGCCACCTGCCTAGTTCTTGAGCTCCTTTTCTAACATAAGCTGCCCCACTCATCTCCTAATATGGAAGATCCAGAATTATCCCCCAAAAATTCTTACCACTGTCACATCACTAGGTGTTTCATTTCCAAAAATATTTTCCATAAGAATAGACCACTTGGTTTTAGAAGGAATCTCCCAACCTGAAACAAATTGGAAAAAGATAAATTTGCTGATAAAAAAAAAATGGTAGAATGCTGGTGACAAAAATAGGTAAATTTTTTAAAAATGCTAATCCTAAAAAGGAAAAATGAGGTGAAAATGCATGAGAATGCATGAGTAAAAATGACTGAAATATTTGACTGTGTGGTATTTGGCAATGTCAAGAAGTAGACATTTATGTCAGCACTCTAAGAAGAATTCTTCAAAGACTAACATTAATTAAAAAAAATATATATAATCAGGAATGTTGAATTTAAAAGGACAGAAAAAAGTTCCATGCGGACAAGTGAAATTTGAAGGTGAAAGGATAGTGAAACCAAAAAATCTGTCAAAGAATAGAGGAGCAGTGAAAGGAATGAGCATATTATATATCCCTGGGTGACATTTCTGAATGGATCTCCCTCCACCCCAATCACTGAGAATAACCACTACTAAGAAGCACTTATGATTACAGGTCCTTACCGGGACATGTACCTTGGGGAAGTCCCCTCTCCTCTGTTCTCAGCTCCTCTTCTTGCTCCAAGTGGAAGATGAGGCTGGGTTTTCCCACCTGACACCCTACTCACAGGGAAAGATACATGTTGAGGGAGGATTGTGCAGAGGACACGTGTTCTGAAGTCAGAGTTCTGAAGATGGACAAGACTGACTTAGGAGCAGTAAAATGATGGTGACAAGATTTTTAAGGGACACAGTTAAAGGCTGTCATAAAAACGAAAACCAAAAATACCCATATGTTTTGCCCTTTAAGAGATTTCTCAATTCAGAAGCTAAGGATTTCTTAATTCAGAAGCCTATGTCCAAGTTCAGACATGTTTGACAACCTCCAAGGTCAATACAATAAACAGATCTCAATATCCATGGGAGACACTAAGAGAGTAGGCACCAGGTAACAATTGTGTTCCAAATCCCCACACTGCTCCTAGGTTACAGCCAACTACTTAAAACAAAATTATTTGATTAATAAATGAAGAAATGATGCCAGTCTTACCCACGGAGGCAAGGTTGCTATAGTTCTCCAGCATCACGTCTTTGTATAGTTTTCTCTGAGAAGAATCCAACAAGGGCCACTCCTTCTCAGTGAAGTCCACTGCAACATCCTGGAAAGTCACCGAGTCCTGAAACACCACATTTGGGGTCAGTGAGAAAACAGCTTGAGTTCAAAGATGGTAGAGGCTGAAGACTGAATAACGAAAGACTCAAATCATAGGGTTTCCAGTTTGGAATTCTGGTGTCTCAAAATTTATTCCAGAAGCCAGTCAATAGCTGTTCTGTGTTCCTTATGAGATGATCTAATCCTGTCTCACTGCTTCAAATGCATCTCTGACATGGGATCAAAATCTCTCTCCACTTTTAGCCTGGCCTGAGCACTTGAACTATATCATCAGAGAAACATTTGGTATGTAAGTCATTTTTCCTAACAACCTTGATACCGTAACAGCCTTAAAACATTTTTTGGCTCTTTTCTATTGATCCCTAATCAGGCATCAACTAACCAGAATAAAAATCTAAAAGAATTTCATTATGTGATATTGGGGGTGTCCTCGGAAGTGCCTCTCCCCCTTCAGGGGCCCAGAGATATTCCTGTACCTGGGAAACATTAGTTGATATATGAGACTCCAGGCCATTACAGGCAAACAGATCCACATTCTGGTGACAGGAATGGTCTTTTGAAGGAAGAGGAATTTCTGACTCCTGGATATGGGCAGGTTCCTGGATGGATATAACTGGAGAAGACACAATCCATGAGAATAAAGGCTTGCTTAACACTCACACACTACTAAACTATAAGTGTGTAGGCCACATTCCCAATCAAAATTCACACACACCATCACATTCAGTAAGAATCCAGAGCAGTCCTGCTCTACTCAATGACAGGAAAAAGGGAGGTGGGCCAATATATCTCTAACAAAAGTAGTATGTTTTCTCAATTTATGAGAGAAGAAATTAAATCTCTAAGAGACAGAGCTTTGTTCAGAATTATCAAAATAATAAATGAGGTAGTTCAGGGTTACTACCCATACTGTTTTTCTTTTCACACCAATTATACACACTCCCTCTATCACCCAAACTCACGAAGATCCTGCCTAAATCAGACAGTCACCTCACGGGGCTCTCCCAAGGCTTTGCTCCCACTACTTTCCAGATGATTCATCCTCTCCTTGGTAACCCTCCCTCTGTCCTTGGGAAGTGGCAGTAGCCCCTTACTAAGCTTGAATTCTGAGAGCATTCTTCACCCCTAGAACTTACCACATGTGGGAGAGAGATCAAGAGCTGCCATCCCGTGAGAATGATAATAAATTTGCCTGAATAACAGGGCACTAGTATCAGAAAGCTATTCTCTTGTTCTTATGGGACTCTTTGAGCAGGCATCTGTAGTAAATGAGAAAAAGATTACTAGGAGAAGTCAAGGCATTCTATCTCTCCTGTTCACAGGACAATCTGACTTCTGATTCCCAGTATTTCTCCATTTGAGCAGCAAATTCTGTCTTATCCTAAGCCTTTCCCTTGCTTAAACAAAACCTCCAGGCAATGCAGTGGACAACCCTGACCCCCAAGTATGTGTCAGCAAGTACAACTCTGTTAAACTCCCTCACTCATTGAATATTTGTGCCCCAGACTTCTGTTCTTCAACTTTGATACATGCCATGGTTTAGTATCATTCAAGTACCCATGAGATGGTCTATCTAGGACTACATGCTCCAATCTCCAATGCTATTTGGCCCCCTCACTACACATCTACATAACTGTAGGCCAACGCACAGGTCTTGTCATCTTTAGTTGCCAACTTTATCTCACAATGATTCAGAAATCTGCACTTCTGCACAACAATCTTCTTGCATGAACTCTTTCGCTTTAGAGGATTCCAAACCACTCATGCTTCTACAATCTTGCTCCCTCACAGCAAATTCCTCTTCTCACTGCTCCACCTATCAAGCCAAGATTCATCACAATCCATCACTTCTATAATCTGTCCAATTCTCCTTCCTATTATAACCCAGAATGACCAAAAGACCAGCCCTAGATGATTCCAACCATCTATCTCCTCTGTAAAGATAGTTGGGAAGATTAGTCCATACACAGCTGGTCACCTCCAAAACTCAAAGTCATTAACTCTAAAGGAGCATCTACAGTAAAGGAAAGCACACTAGGCAATCCAATCTTCCATATCCGCATAACCAGGTAAAAATCTCAACAGGTTTTCTGAAGAAAAAAAAAAAAAAAAAAAAAAGGACTGTCTTACCATTATCATCTTTCAGCAAATATTCTTATGTTCCTTTCATAGTAATCACAACCAGGAAAATGGATCTCAGCAAGGTCTAGAAAATGAAACAAAAAACCAATTCCACATATGATAGCAGAAAGCAAATTATCTAATAATAAATCAAAAGCTGTGTATGACCTTTACAATAAAAAACTGAAACACTGATGAAAGAAGTTAAAGACCTAAATAAGTGGGAAGAATATCACTTTCATGGACTACAAGAGCCATTATTAGAGTATTCATGCTATCCTAATTCATCTGCAGACAGAACACAGTTACTAGCAAAACCCCCTACAGGCTTTTTTCTAGAAATTGACAAGCCAAATCTAAAATGTGTATTAAAATGCAAAGGATCTAGAAGAGCCAGAACAATATTAAGAAAAACAAACTTGAATGGTTCATACTATGAACTTCACCACAGTAATGAAGAGTTATTGAAATAAGTATAGATAAATAGGTCTATGGGATAGAATAGTTAGAAATAGAAATACAAATGCAGAGTCAATTTTCGATAAAGAACAAAGCAATTTGGTAAGAGCAGTTTTTAAAAAATATATAAATGTTTTTATTGATTTCAGAGTAAGGAAGGGAGAGGGAGAGAGAGAAACATCAGTGAAAAGAGAATCATGGATCAGTTGACCCCTGCACACCCCCTATGGGGATTGAACCAGCAACCCAGGCATGTGCCTTGACCAACCAGGAGTTAAACCATGACCTCCGTGGTTAATAAGTCAATACTCAACCACTGAGCCACACCAGCTGGGTAGGAAAGCTGTTGTTGTTGTTTTTTTTAATATAATTTTATTGATTTTTTACAAAGAGGAAGAGAGAGGGATAGAGAGTTAGAAACATCGATGAGAGAGAAACATTGATCAGCTGCTTCTTGCACACCCCCTACTAGAGATGTGCCCACAACCAAGGTACATGCCCTTGACCGGAATCGAATCTGGGATCTTGAGTCCGCAGGCCGACACTCTATCCACTGAGCCAAACCAGTTTTGGCGAAAGCGGTTGTTTTAAAATAATCATTTTAAAATTATACTTGACACTAGAGGGCCAGTGCATAAAATTTGTTCGGAGGGGAGGGAGGGGTGTCTCTCATGTCCCTCAGCCCTGCCTGCACTCTCTCCAATCTGGGACCCATCAAGGGATGTCTGACTTGCCCAGGATTGGGCCTAAATGGGCAGTCAGACATCCCTCTCACAAACCAACCGCTCGCCTGTCTGCCTGCCTGATTGCCCTTAACTGCTTTTGCCTGACAGCCTGATCACCTCCTAACCCCTCCCCTGACTGCCTGATCGACCCTAACTGCTCTCCTGCCGGTCTGATTTAGCCCTAACTGCCCTCTCCTGCTGGCCGGGATGCCCCAACTGCCCTGCCCTGCTGGCCATCTTGTGGTAGTCATCTTGTGACTGCCATCTTATGTCCACATGGGGATAGCCATCTTTGACTAAATAAGGGCAGCCATGGTGTGTGTTGGAGTGATGGTCAATTTGCACAATACCTCTTTATTATATAAATATTATATTATTATATAGTATTTAATAATATAATATTTAATAACATTATATTATTATATGGTACTTAATAACATAATACTTAATAATATCATATTAGTTTCAGGGCACAACATTGTGATCAAACATTTATGTAACTTATGAAGTAATCACCACTGTAAGTCTATAATAGTACCCATCTAACACCATACATTGTTATTACAACACTAGAGGCTCAGTGCGTGACATTCATGCACTGGCAGGGGGGCACCCTCAGCCCAGCCTAGAACCTTTACCAGTCCAGGAGTCCTCAGGGGATGTCCAACTGACAGCTTAGGCTGGGAGCGGGACTAAGCTGCAGTTGGTCATACTTAGCACTGCCATAGAGGCAGAAAAGGCTCCTGCCACCACCGCTGTGCTCGCCAGCCATCAACCCGGCTTGTGGTTGAGTGGTGCTTCCCCTGTGGGAGCACACTGACAAGGGGGCAGCCCCTGTGTTGTGCATCTGTCCCATAGTGGTCGGTGCATGTCATAGCAACCGGTCATTCCACTGTTTGGTAAATCTCCATATTACCTATTATATAGGATTATTGACTTAACAGAGCAAACTGGGACAGCTATCTATTTAATAAATGGTGTTGAAAGACTCAATGGAAAAAAGAAACTTTTGCCTTATCATACCACTACATACACAAAAATTTGAATTAAAAATCTGATTAAGATTAATTAAGCACCGGAAAATAAAATCCAGAGACTATTTTAATGACCCTTGAGTTACTAACAATATTTTAGTCTAGACACAAAATAGAACTAGATTTAAAGAAAGCAATAAGCTAAACTACCGAATTTAAAAATTTTTAATCATCAAATAACATTATTTTAAAAATGAATAAACTGGCATAAAAAGACACATAGATCAATGAAACAGAATTGAGAGCCCTGAAATAAATCCACACATACATGCTCAGCTACTTTTAAGACAAAGTAGCCAAGAATATACCATGGGAAAGGAGAGTCAGAAAATGCTGCTGGGAAAACTGGGCAGCCAAGTGCTAAAGAATGGAACTGGACCATTATGTTACACTGTACACAAAAATCAACTCAAACCAGACTAAACACTTGAATGTAAGACCTGAAACGGTAAAAGTCCCAGAAGAAAACAGGCAGTAAGCTCCTTGGCAAAAGTCTTAGCCTGCAGATGGAAGGGTCCAGGGTTTGATTCCAGTCAAGGGTAATGACGAGGTTGTGGGCTCAATCTTTGGTAGGAGGCATACAGGAGACAGCCAATCAATGATTCTCTGTAACTGATGTTTCTTTACCTCTCTCTAAGTCTTATATAATGATGGTGGATATGTGAAATGGTTCAAACATTTTGGAAAACAATCTGCCAGTTTCTTAAATAGTAGACCTATTTGACCAAGTAATTCCACATCTAGATATTTACCCAAGAAACATTCTGATTCATAAAAGCCAAGAAGTGTAAATATCTATCAACAAGAAAAAACAAAACTGTGACATGTACAATGAAATACTCCTCAGCAATAAAAAGAAACTACCAAGATACACAATATATGTTGACAAACAGAAGATAGATACAAGAAACTTTCTAATCCCAATCACATGATGTTCGTGAATAGGCAAAACTTATTTAAGTCAATGGAAAAACTTGTTTAAGTCCATAGTAAAAAAGTGGTTGCCTTGATGGAGAACATGAGATGGTATTGAATAGACTGAGGAAAAACTATATGTATTTTTTTTTAGTTAGTGGATACACAATGTACACAAGTGTCAAAAAAAAATTAATCAAACTGATTACCTAAGATCTGTGCATTTTCCTGAATTCTATACTTAAAAGTTAAGATATATTTTTCTTACTTTTTGGTCTCTAGTTATACAAAAATTCCTCCCACAACTAATCTATTATCTTCTACTCTCCCTTCTAAGGTCAATGTCTTCAGAGTAAATATATATGTATAATAAATTCAAAATGTTTAAAGAAAAAAGTAGAATAAAAAATACTCAAATCAAAGGAAGCAAGAAAAAATAAATGGAAAAAGATAAGGCAAGGCAAATTCAACAACCAAATATATTAACACATAAAATGTTAATGGACTAAATGCTTCAGCCCAGAGAGTGCGGCTCAGTGATTCCCATGAACCTGGAAGTGATGGTTTGATTTCTGCTCAAGGCACTTGTCCAGGTTGCAGGCTCCTTCTCCAATAGGGACGTGCAGGAGGCAGCTGATCAATTATTCTCCTTTATCATTGATGCTTCTTTTTTTTTAAAATATATGTTATTGACTTTTTACAGAGAGGAAGGGAGAGAGATAGAGAGCCAGAAACGTCGATGAGAGAGAAACATTGACCAGCCGCCTCCTGCACACCCCCCACCAGGGATGTGCCCGCAACCAGTGTACATGCCCTTGACCAGAATCGAACCCGGGACCTTTCAGTCCTCAGACCGACGCTCTACCACTGAGCCAAACCGGTTTCGGCTATCATTGATGTTTCTATCTCCCTC